TCGCTCAGCAATCAAAGATACATCTCATCTTTGAAGTACCATCTCGCTATCTATTTTGATACTGTCCAATTTGTTTACCTCCTTCTCCTTTACTGTGACATTGGCGTCATCTTCTTATGTGAATACAGAATCAAAGTACTCATTCAATACAGCAGTGCTTCCACAAGAAGTTTTCCGTTCTGGTCCCTAATCGGCCCCGCCCTTCCTTTGACCATCCTTTTGCTCTTTATTTGTTATTTGTTCGTTGACTCAATTTTTAATCTGGTTCCCTTTTGAAAGTCAATATAAATGCTGCCACAACCACTGCTCCCGCAGGACACTCCAGATCATCACTGCTTTGTGGGTGAAAAAAAGTTCTCCTGATCTCTACCAATCCTCCTTTCAATATATACCTCTCTTTCACAGGTTACCTCTGGCAGGTGTTGAATTCCGTACTGAGGGCTGGCCTAACTGTACACTTTACAACTTGAGTGTGTGTCTCTTTGCTCAGTTGGTAGCTCTCTCGCCTGTGAGTGAGAAGGTTGTGGATCTAAGACCCGCAACCTATGACGAAATCGTGAGGAGATCCAGAGCTGCTTTGGATATAAGTGCACATGACAAGGAAGTAACAGGCCAACCAAGGACAGTTAATTCATTAACTGTATATCTGTGTAACCACATCAACTATCTATAAATCGCTCCATTTAATACTGATCTCAGTTGCAGTATGGGAGGATGCTTTTCGGTACTGTGCTGCAGAAGACAAAGCATCCAGGCCACGGATTGTTCCACTAGATGGGCTGTTATACAGGAAAGTGATCGGCCAACAGAGGGCGGTATAGGTGATGGTTACCGGCCAACGGCGAGCGCTACAATTGATGGTAAACAGGCAACAGATGGTGCTGTAGGTGTTGGTAACCGGAAAACAGAGGGCGCTACAAGTGATGGTGACCGACCAACGGAGGGCAACATATTTGATGGTAACCAGATAACAAATGCCACTACAGATGATGGTATTCAGCCTACAGAGGGCGCAACAGTTGATGGTAACCAGCCAACAGATGGGAGAATGTACGAACCCACAAGAGCCGCAGAAACATGTGGGTACACACAGATGCTTTACAACCCAAGTGCTTCTCCTCCACAAATGACTTCTCGTACAGCCCCTTAACCATTTTGGGCAGCGTTCCTCAGGGCTCTGCCCTTGATCGACTCCTCAGCAAAATTTACATGCTCCCTCTTGGTGACATCATCTGAGACATGGGGTCAATCCACATGTATGCGGACGTCACTTAAGTTTACCTCCGGCCTCCACTCATTAATCCAGGACCACTGCTGTTCTGCCATATTGGCTGTCAGACATGAAGTCCTGGATGAGAGCTAATTATTTGAGGTAAAGATCGAGGCTCTCCTGATTGGGTTCCGTCAGCGCCTCCTCACCTCAGATGTTGACAGCATCACAATCCATGGTTGCACACTCAACCTTGCTAAGCCACTCCGGAAGCTTTTACTCTTGTTTGACTCTCAACCATCCTTTCTTCCCCACATTCGTGTCAGGACACGGTCTATCCCACCTCCGCAAATGGCGCAGCTCCTCCACCGCCTTACCCTTCAAGCCGCCTAAATTCTCATCTATGCAATCGTCATATCAAGGCTTGACTACGCAAACACTCGGATGATCAGGCCTTCAGCCTCTCTTCCCCTACGCTTTGGAATTCCATCCCTTTCCGTTTGATTCACTCCTTCCCTTGCGTTTTTCAAGGCCCATTTCGAGACCTACGTCTTCGTCCGTGCCTTTATTCACCCGCCTATAAACCCCAACCGCCTTACACCCCTCCTGCTGATGGAGGAAGTTAAGAGCGGATGGAAGCTGAGAATTGGTGGGATATGAAAGACGTTGAGGACTGAGAGGGGGTGGGAGTCGACGTAAGACTGGGACTAGTTGTGATAAGATTGGGGAGTGGGACTAGGTGGAGTAAGAGCTGGGGATTGGACGAATTGAGGTAAGAGTGGGAAAGTGGGGCTAGTTGAGGTACGAGCAGCAGAGTGGGACTAGTTGGGGTAACGATAGGGGAGTTGGACTAGTTGAGGTAACATCGGGAGAGTTGGACTAGTTGGGGTAAGAGCGGGGGAGGTGGACTAGTTGGGCAGGAGCAGAATAGTGGAGCTACTTCGGGTAAGAGTAGGGGAGTGGGACTGTTTGGGGTTAGAGTGGGTCTAGTGGAGCTAGTTGGGGTAAAAGCGGGGGTGAGGGATTAGTTGGGTTAACAACAGGGGAGATAGACTATTGGGGTAAGAACGAAAGAGTGGGGACGAGTTTGGGTAAAGGTGGGGCAGATGGTTTAGTTCGGTTAAGAGCAGAGGAATAGGGCTAGTTGGGGTAATAATGGGGGAGAGGGGGTTAGTTGGGGTAATAGTGGGGGAGAGGGTTTAGTTGGGGGAAAGGCGTGGAAGAGCATTTAGTTGTGGTAAAAGTGGGGGAGAAGATTAATTGGGGAAAGAGTGGGGGGAGGGCTCAGTTGGGTTAAGAGCGTGAGAGACGGGTTAGTTGCGGTAAGAATAGGGGAGAGGGCTCAGTTGGGGTAACAGTGGGGGAGAGGCGTTAGCTGGGTTAAGAGCGGGGCAGCGGCACTCGTTGGGGTAAGAACAGCGGTGTTGGATTAGTTGGGGTAAGAGCGGCGAAGTGGGGACTAGTTGGGGTAAGAATCCGGGAGAGGGGTTAGTTGGGTTAAGAGCAGAGGAATAGTACTAGTTGTGTTAAAATCGGGGAGGGGCTTAGTTGGAGTAATAGCGGGGCAGTGGGACTAGTTGAGTTAAGAACAGGGGAGTTGGAGTAGTTGTGGTAAAAGCGAGGGAGTGGTGTTAGTTGAAGTAAGAGAAGGGGAGAGGGCTTAATTGAGGTAATAATGGGGAAGAGGCGTTATTTGGGATAAGTGTTGGGGAGAGGGGTTTGTTGGGGTAAGAGCGGGGAAGAGGTGTTACTTGCGGTAAGAATGGGGCAGAGGGATTCGCTTGGAGTAAGGGTAGGCGAGAGATGTCAGTTGGGCTAAATGTGGGAGAAAGGGCTTAATTGGGGTAAGCGCGCTAGGGGTGGGGGCGCAGGGGGGGCTAAGTCGGTTAATTGTGGGGGAGTTGGCTCAGTTTGGGTTAAGAGCAGGGGAGAGGGCTTAATTGGGGAAATAGTGGGGGAGAGAGGTTAGTTGGGGTAAATGTAGGGGAGAGGGATTAGTTGGGAAAAGTGTGTGGGAGACGGGTTTGTTGGGGTAAGACTAGAGGAGATAGGTTCGTTGCGGTAAGTGCGGGGGAGGGGTCTTAGTTGGTGTATGAGTAGGCGAGAGAGTTTAGTCGTTGTAAGTGCGGGGAAAGGGCTAAGTTAGGGCAATATTTGGGAGCAGGGTTTAGTTGAGGTAAGAGTTGGGAGAGGGATTAGTTGGGGTAAGTGTGGGGGAGAGGTTTAGTTGGGGTAAGAGTGGGGGGAGGGTTTCGTTGGTGTAAGAGTGGAAAAGAGGGGCTATTTGGTAGCGTTTTCAAAGGGCCAGAATAGGTATGATGAGCTGCAAGTTTGCATAATTGTATGAAAAGCTATCCGCCGACCTTACCGCTGTGACTGCACCTCCCACACCATTCACCCCATCTCTCTCCCAGCTCGGGCTCTCACTTCTTTCTTGTAATGTGGTTTGAGACAATCTCCTCAACGCCAGAGTCTCTTTCCGGAGCTCTGAGAGAATGTGGGAATCATTTGTGGAAATGATGCCTATTTTACCAAACTGAACAAAATGATGTCAGAAATCCAGGACCAAGGTGATATGTGAGGTTCCACTGGGATCCATTCTGTGGTGAGTGACACACTTTGCTGCAATAGAATTGAGACGCCGTTCTTTCAATCTAATGCCATTCACTCTATACAAACAGGTGCCAATCTAGTGAAGGACGCGACTCGTGCTCGGAGTGTAACAGAAGTCCCCAGTGATCTGACAGGTTTGTGACTTGTACAAGATTGAAACCAGTCGATCACTTCTGGGAAACACATTTAGATATTTTACCATTCACTGGTGATTTGCATTCACTACACATGAGTGGTCAGAGAGGAGGAGGGATGAGAGGAGGGAGGGGAGGAGGGAGTAAGGAGCGAGAAAGGAGGGATAAAGGAGAGAGGTGGATGGAGGAGGCGTTGGAGGAATGGAGTGGGAGGTGGGAGTGGAGCAAGCAGTGGACGGATGGCAGCAGGGAGGGAAGGAATGGAGGCAGGGGAAGAAAGAGAGGGAGGGAGAGGGAGCGTAGTAGGTAGGGAATCAGGAAGAGGAGGACGGAAGATGGAGGGGTGGGAGGGGAGGAGGAAAGAGAGCAGGGAGCGGGTGGAGGGAGGGCTGAAGGAGGAGAGAGATGAGGAAGGAGGGGGAGGGGAGCGAGCGGATGAGGGAAGGGAAGTATGGTGGAGGGAGGAGGAGGAAGAATGAAAGGAGGAAAGCGTGAGGGAGGAGAAGGATGGAGGAGTGGAGGGGAGAGGATGAGGGAAGTTGAGGAGTTGGGGTAGGAGAGAGCGCAGGAGAGGAGTTTAGTGGTAGGTGGAGGAGAGATGTGGAGGAGTTAGAGGAGGAAGAGCGGTGGAGGGAAGGGGAGGAGGGACGGGAGGATGGAGGGTTCTGATCCTTATTGGATTGCTCAATTACTTCAGCCAATATGGATTTGTAAACATCTTTCTCACAATAAGTCAGGGATGGCTTCTCGTAAGTCATCATAAAATGTATTGAATACCTCTCGTGGTGTGAGTGTAATTCGCATTGTTTAACCTTTATTTTCCCGACTCAGCTACTATTCTTATTGTCTCAGATCCTGAGGTTGTGGGTTCAAGTTCACATCAACAGGACCCGTTGACGTTCAAATGCAGTACTGGGATGTTCAGCACTGTCAGAGATGCGTCACTGGGACATTAATCCTGTCAGATCCTGTCTGGCCTCTTCAGCTGGAAGTTAAAGATCCCGTGGTATTGATTGAAAAGAGAAGAGCGTTTCTCTCTCCACGTGTCCTGGCCAACAATCCCTCAAATCGGTTTGTGCAGTCACTTACCGGCTGTTTCTGGGACGTTGCTGGGCGCAAATTGGCTGCTGAGTTGGCCCACAAAACATTGTATATTAATCCTGGGATTTGTGGGTGAGGAGAGGCAGGAATATTTTCGCAAGTACTTTGAAGATCAGGAGGTGGCGGCTGCTGTTTACAGCCACAGAACGAGCTCCTGTCCACCATGTGCTACAACCCGTCCTACTGCTGGATCCTCGCTATGTCTCTGGGTCCCTTCTTTGCACGGAAACACAGCAACAAAGAGCGAGTGCCCAAGACTGTCACACAACTCTTCTCCTATTATATTTACCACATTCTAATGCATCACAGTGTCAAGACGGAAAGCCCCCGTGTTGCAATGCGGAACATTGGTGACATGGCCTTCACTGGAGTCTCCCAGAGAAAGATTGTCTTTAATACTGAAGATCTGAAAAAATCTAACCTCCAACCTTCCCAGTTCCACTCTGGCTTTCTCTTTGAACTTATTGAGAGAGAGTCTTCAGAGCACAGCGTGGTCTATACATTTCCGCACCTCACCATCCAGGAGTTTGTAGCTGCACTCGCTCAGTTCCTGTCTCCAGATCTCGGAACCATCAGGAGATGTCTGGATTTTGCTGACAGAGAGGAGGACGGTTCATTTGAGATATTCCTACGCTTTGTTGCGGGTCTCTCCTCCCCACAGGCAGGTCATCCACTGGCGGAGTTTCTGGGTCCATTTGAGAATGAAACAACCCGCGCGGTGATCGATTGGCTGAAAGAGAAGGTTAAAGCTCAGGTCAGAGACACAGAGACCATCACTGGGAAAAGGAAGCTGCTGAACACACTCCACTACCTGTTTGAGTCCCAGAACCAAGCCCTGGCACAGCTCACACTGGGCTCTGAACAAACACTGATGTTCGGTGGTGGCTCTTCAGGCAAGCATATACACTGACACCGATAGATTGTGTTGTGGTGTCTCAGGCCATTGGACTATGTGACACAATAAAACTACTGGATCTGAGGAGCTGTTACATTCAGAATGAGGGTCTCCAGCGTCTGGTTCCTGCTCTGCACAAGTGTCAGGAGTTGGTGTAAGTTCACTTTGTTTGTAAACCTTATTGTTACATTTCTTATTTCAAAGCTATTCTCCAGGACATTACTGACATTAAACACTAGCTGATCAATGGAAAATTGTATCGCACAGCACAACAGTGGGAGACACTACGGAGGCGTCACACAACATAATCCTGCAATCTGGGATTAGGAGGTGCTCAACACCATGAGCCCTTTGGTGACATTCCCAGATTGCTGATGTTATTGTGATTGGTTCCTGATTCCCGACTGGAATACGCACTTTACTGACTAGATTGTACATGTTTCCAGGTCAGACAGAACGTAGTTTGGGCACAAAGACGTCATTAAGTGGTTCTGGTTCATTTATACAGGAGAGGTTTCTCATCGCCTCGGCGTCACTGCCACAAGCAGAACCTTGTAAATTCTTACCCTCTGATCTTTTCCCAGCCCAGGGCATAGAGCTCACTCCGCTGTACCATGTAGTTGTGCCGGAGGCTTCCTGTTTCCTCTCCTACTGCTAGCAACACGTCCCCATGGTGGGGGCCGGTCGCACCATCAGCCTCGCTGTCCCCACCCTCTGGAACTCCATCCCGTAGCCCCTCCCCATTACCCTTCCCTCACCTCATTCAAAGCCCATCTCAAACCCATTCGTTTCAGTCACCCCCACCCCAATCCCCTGCCTTCCAATCCTCTCTGATTCCAAACCCAGCTCAGGTGCAAACCCCTATCATTGTCCTCCCGCTCCTGAATGTCCTCTAGGAAGATTGCCTCACAGCTTTATAGCCACTTACACACTCAACCTTCTCATTTCACAAGGCTCTCAATAGACAGGAGTTGGTATGCATCATTCGGAGCAGGAGATTCCCTCCAGCCACTTGCGGATTGACCAGGTTATACAATTGCTCACTCGCTCGCTCGGTCTATGATCCTGAGTGAATGTGGCCCGGCACCTCACGGCCTGAACAGCCGCTATGGTAACAGCTGGTCGCACTGTCCTGTCCTTACACCCAGGTCACTTATGCTGTTAAATCGGGCTCTGCTTACGAGCCGCCGGGCAAGCTGGTAAACTAGGCTAAGTGACTGTAAATTCTGAGGCCTTGCAGTCCAGGAGCATCTATGCAAGGCTTTGTTTTGCACTTGGAGTCGAAGGGTCAGGCACCTCTTTAGCGTGTCACACACAAGGGGTGAGAGAATCCATAGGAAGCTTTCTTTGATCTGGACGGCAGCTCGTGGGACGGAGGATAGTTGGCTGTTCAGGGCGGGGAGTGAGTGAGTGCTGTGGGGCCAGTGCTCTTGGAAATAGAGTTCGAGAGAGGCCTAGATGGGGCATGAGCCAACCCAGAGACCTGCAACACTGCGTGGTATGAGTGGGAAGCAGTGGTGTTTTCCAACGCCATCCCGACGTAAAAAATGCTAAAGATGCCATTTTTTTTTACTGTGGTTGCCATAGAGACTGGGGGCCACTCGAACATTCTAACTCATCGTTGTAAAACTCGGAGACATTAGCCGAAGTGAATAACATATAAATTTCAGCTGCTTTCCATGACTTAGGAACGATGTTTCTGTTTGCACGTTGGGGTGTGTCTGACTCTGGTTCCAGCCCATTTAGACTTGCTCCCCTCGTGAAAGGCGACTGTAAATAAATGTCAATTTGTATTGTGTTGTTACAATACATTCACTGTGTTTCTGTCTCTGTGTCCAGCCTGTGGGACAATAATCTGGGAGAACCTGGAGTGAAGCTTCTGTGTGAGGTTCTGAGGAAACCGGAGAATAAAATACAGAGACTGGAGTGAGTAACAGATTCTGGAATTTTATCACACGGGAAAATCTCAGAGGCCTCCAGTGGCCATAAATATACACAACAATTGACATCTTACAGGTCACAGTCAGTGTCGGTATCAACTCTTGCAACCCTCTGTTCCTCACAGTCCTCAGTGCATACACCGCTCTGATAATCCCAGCTCTAAATACACTGAAAACGTCTCTCCAAAACAGCCCTGCCCTCACATGTGGCCAGGCCTCAGCCCCTCCTCTCTCAAGCCCCAGAATGAATGGCCTGGAGCCAGATGCCTCACAGCTTGATACCCACCTATATCCACCCCCTGATCAAACCCCTGGGATCCCAAAAGGCAGAATATGCAGTCCACCATTGGGAGAAGGAGACTCCTTCCACTCATTGGCTGATTGACCATGTTACACACTAACTCGCACGGCCTGACTCCTGACAATATGTGGCCCGGCTCCTCACGTCCTGAGGAGCCGCCCATGACAGCAGTTGGTTCCATTGTCCAGTCCCCACACGGAGGTCACTTATACTGTTATAAGCGGCTCTCAATAACGGCCGTGGTGAATGCTGGTAAACTGGGTCCTCGGACAGTAAAGTCTGAGGACCTGCAGTGCAGATGCAGCTGTTGGGGGCTTTGTGTTGTAATGGGTGGTGGATTGTCAGTTACCACTTTACTGAGTAACACACAGCGGTGAGGGAGCCGCTAGAAAGCACACTTTGCGCTGGACGTTAGCTCGAGGAGGACCTGCTGTCCTGAGGACGGGACATAGGAAGCCCGTAGCCTAGTCTCATGGACCAGAGGAGAATTGGCTATTGAGTGCAGAGAGTGGTTGCTGTGTGGCCTGAGCTGCTGGAACCATAGTAGGAGAGAGGCCTAGAGGGGCAGGACCCAAAGTAGGGAACTGCAACAATGGGGGTGTGAGCGAGGGGAGGAAGTTGTGCTTAGCAACATTACCAACCTGTCCGCTCCCTCCTCAGGGGGGCACTGACCTGCTCCATGCCCCCCGCCCTTCCCGCTCCACCATCAGCGGCCTTACCTTCAGCTTCTCTGCCCCCACCCTCTGGAACTCCAACACGGAGACCCTCAGCCCGGCCCCCTCCCTAAACATCTTCAAAGCCGGTCTGGAAACCTTCTTTGTCAGCCCCCTCCCACCACAATTCCCTGCCCTTCAATCTTCACTCATCGCAACATCCAGCTCTGGTGCAAAGCCCTCATTTTCCAGCCTTAGGACGTCATCGTGATGTGAAAGGCGCTAAAAATACAACTTGGAAATATTTTCACACAACGAATTGTTCGGATTTAGAATCAATGCCTGAATGTGTGATCGAAGGAGATTCGGTAACAACTTTTAAGAGAGAAGCAGGAGGGGAGGACAGTGCTTTCGGGTGAGAGCAGGCCTACCTGGAGAGAGCGGTGGAGTGGGGTTGATTTGGTAAAGGTCTTTTCAAAGAGTAGCCACAGACACGATGGGCCGAATGGCCTCCTTCCATACGGTATAATTCTATCATTATATGCCTCTGTGAATGTATGTGTGTCTGAACAGGGACACAGTACCTTGGCACTTGCTCCCCACGCGAAAGGCGACTATATATGTACATATATGCCAGCTTGTATTTTATTGTTACACTATATTCACAATGTTTCTGTCTCTGTGTCAAGCCTGTGGGGCAATGATGTGAAAGATTCTGGAGTGAAGCGACTGTGCGAGGCTCTGAGGAACCCTGAGTGTAAAATACAGATACTGGAGTAAGTAATACAGACTTGTTGAGTAACAGACTTGAGTAATTAACATAAAAATTGTGGACTTGTCGTCAGTAACTGGTTGGGGATGGGTGAGGTGTGGGGGACTGCTGGAAACCCGCGGGAAATTTCCCAGACGGAGCTCTCCCTCACAGCGGATGTTATTTAGCTTCAGCTGGTCATAGCCCAGCAGTCTGGGGTGCCTTGGCCACGAACTGTGCCAACGTACCCCTTAATCCTGAGTGGATGTGCCAGTTCCGCACTCAGGGACTTTTTCACATGTAGATGGCAAACATGTCACATGCTGTCTCAGACTGCCCAGCGCATTACCAATGTATCTGATAGCAATCAATGTTCGTTTGACTCTGATTCCTGTAGCTCTCTATGTCTCTGATATCCAGCTTGAAGAATAACTAATAATAATAATAATAATACACCTTCCATTTTATACAATGCTTCATCACGTCATCGTTATGTCTGAAAGCGCTTCATAGAATATAATCTTAAGCTAAGTGACTGTATAGTTTGTGAGTGAAACGCAGCAACCAATTGCGCACAGCAGTATCCCACACAAAGTCGTGGATTCAGCGACAACATTGTTTATTTATTTTCAAGGAATTTATCCCTAGAAAACCAATATGCCAATTGACTAACATCCGGGATCGGAGTCCTGTAGCTCAGTGGTTAGAGCACTCGCTTTGCAAGTGAGAGACCTGAGTTCAATTCCAGGCAGAGGGCGAAACCTCGGGCAAGTTGCCTTACTCCACACAGAGCCTAATAATAATCCCTCCAAAAAACAACAACAAAAAAAATTGCTCTTTTTCAATCTACGACTGTTTGTGGGACATTGCTGTGTGGAATTGGCTGCCGCGTTCGCCCACAAATATACAGTCAATTCACTTTACAGTGTGTTCTGTGAAGCGATTTGGGACGTCCCCCCGACGTTAAAAGCGCTATATCAAATGCAAGGATTATTATTATTATTATTATTTATTGCTTGGTAAACATTGGCTGGTGGAGCGTGTAAGAAAACTTGCCCAGTGTTTTGCTGGGAATCAAACCCAGGTCTCTCGCTTGCGAGGCGAGTGCTCTATCCACTGAATTAGGTAATGATCACTGTGTTTACTATGATTTCGCTCATTTTCCTGGGTCTTTGATCTCCAGGCTCTGGGGTAACGATCTGACAGCTGATTGTACCGAGGATCTCGTCTCTGCTCTCAGTACAAACCGCTCACTGACAGAGCTGAATCTGAGTGATAATGAACTGGGAGATTCAGGAGTAAAGCGACTGTGTGAGGCTTTGAGGAACCTGGAGTGTAAGATACAGAGACTGGGGTAAGTTATCGACAACAACAACAACAATTTTCCATTTATAGAGCGCCTTTCACGTCGGGAGGACGTCCCAAGGCGCTGTATAGTTGGGTCAGGACCCGAGCAAGGGGGAAATGGTCAGGGTGAGGGGAGGGAAGGGAGGGACCGAGGAGGGGGTAGAGAGTTGAGAGGGAAGCCGAAGGCTCGGTCAAAGAGAAAGAACTTGAGACCGGCCTTGAAGGAGGAAAGGGAGGAGGCAAGGCGGGCACTGGGTGATAGAGTTCCAGAGCCTCGGGCCTGAGAGGCTGAAGGCCCGGCCACCGATGGTAGGGCGGTGGGGGCGGGGGATGTGGATCAGACCCGAGTCAGAGGAACTGAGGGTACGGGCAGGTAGGGACTGAGATAGTAGGTCGGATAGGTGTATATATATATATATATATATATATATAGACGGTGTGAGAATATAATATTCCGAGGCTATAATATCAGCTCCTCTCCCAGATCACTCCAGCCAGGAAAAACAGCCCCGTTTATCCCAACCAAAAGCTCCTGTCCCAGATCTGTCAATCGCTCCATCCCTCCATCCCTACCTCCCTCCTTCCATCCCTCCCTCCCTCCCTCCCTCTTTCCTTCCTTCCTTCCTTCCTCCCTCCATTCCTCCCTCACTCCATCCTTCCCTCCACACACTGGGAACGGTAACAACATTAATAATAATCACAGACAGAATATTAATTGCCTTTGATTTAACGACTCATCACATCACCCAGACGTCTCCAAGTACTTCACAGGACACACTGCGCAGTGTAGTGACTGTGTGTTCTGTATGCCAAACCGACGATTATTGTAGTCAAACGTGCGAAGCTACGACTGTGTTTTGTGGTTGCAATATCACCTGCTGAGTGTTTGACACTTGTGTGTGTGGCTGCCTTGTACAGAGCTCACTCTCTCCACACAGGGAGGAACCTTCCCTTCTCAACTAATCCTGTAGAGCAGCGATGGACAACTAGCTGCCCTGGAACACATTGCACCAACGTAAAATAATCCCTCCCCTCACCCTGCGAGCCCCAAGCTGCTCATCCCAGCTGTAGATGATTGGGGTCAGACACTAGTAGACCAGGCTCTGGGGTGTTCGGGTGGGGGCACAGTGTGTGTTGTGGTGACGGCTGGAGTTTAACCAGAGAAACCTCCACAGTTTGTCATTGTGAACAATGTCTCGCTTCTCTCTCCTTTTCCATCTGGAACTGCCCCATTATGTATCAGGCTCTGGCTTCCACTGAGGCCTGGAATGGCCCAGACTCACTTCTATACATTGTGTTTCCTTTGATCCCTGTTGTCTCTGTGTCTCTGTCTCCAGGCTGGAGAATAATAATATTCTTTGCATTTGATATAGCGCCTTATCCTGTCAGCGAGAAGGCTCAAAACGCTTCACAGGACTTTATAGTCACAGGACTATAGACTTTATGAACAACGTAAATAGTAAACTACATGGTATTTCCACTGACCTCTGTTATATCTATGTGTCTCTGTTCTCCAGGCTGGACAGTAACAGTCTGAACGCTGACTGCCCTGATGATACGGTCTCTGCTCTCATTTCAAGCCTCTCGCTGAGATAGCTGAACCTGAGGTCTAACTCCTTCACAGACGACCCTGTTCCCGATCTCCGTCGCCTCATGCAGATCTGCACCAGCCTGAAGGAGATTTGGTGGGTGTTTGTGTCAGTGTTTAATGTGATAGACACACAGAGAAAGAGCTGGTTATCGGAATGGAAGCAGTTTGAGGGATTTATTTCTTTATTAAACTGCGACATGAACAGTTTACAGTTTATATTGTTATCAGATAGCTTTTGCTGTTTAATGTGTTTCAGGCTTGAGGGGAATCAGTTCAGTAAACCCGGAAAGAGACAACTGAATTCACTGCAGGAATCCAGAGCTCGACTGAGTTTGAGAGTGTGATCTCAGCCATGAGGAGGGTCCAGAGACTGTTTAATATTAACTGTATTGTCTTCCTATATAATACTAAACACTTTATACTCAGTGCATAATATTCAGTGTATAATAATCCATATCTAATATTCAGCACTTTATACACAGTGTATAATGCTCAGTGTAAAATAATCCATTATAAATCATATCACACACTTTATACTCAGTTTATAATACTTAGTATATAATCATACAAAAAAGTAAACACTTTATGCTCAATGTATAATAATCAGTGTATAATAATAATAATAGGCTTTGCATTTATTGTAGCGATTTTTACGTCTTCTAAACGTCTCAAAGCGCTTCACAGAACAGACTGTAACGTGAATTGACCTTATATTTGTGGGCGAAACGCGGCAGCCAATTCCAACCTATGCATCTCGAAAAAGACCATCTGGAACCACTTCTTCATCTCCTTTCACATCCCTCTCCCATCCACAAAGGCCTAAACCATACTTTTCCACCCATGAAAGAGGCTTCCCCCCGAGATCCTCAAAAAGCTCCTCTCATCAGTAGACCTCCTATCCCTCTGGTAAGCTGCTCCATGATTGCCTCGCCTTCTACCTTCAACTCCCTCGTCCCCTTGAAATCCAGGACAGTCTCAAATCCCATCCGCTCCTCCTGGTACAACAGCCACCTGCGATCCCTAAAATCCCAAATCCGTCTCCTCGAGTGTGGGTGGCAGAAAACCAGCCTCACGGTTCACCACCAATTATGGCTAGATTACCTTCACACCTACTGCCGCTCCCTTTCGGAAGCAGAAACTGTGCACGCATCATACATCATACTGGGGGGAACAATAACTTCAAAATCCTATTCTCCACTGCCAAATACTTCCTCCGTGACCGCTCAAGCCCCTAAATCATCACATAATAATAATAGTAAAAATAATAATCCTTGCATTTGATATAGCGCTTTTCACATCGGGAGGACATCCCAAAGCGCTTCACAGAACACACTGTAAAGTGAATTGACTGTATATTTGTGGGCGAACGCGGCAGCCAATTGCGCACAGCAATGTCCCACAAACAGTCGTAGATTGAAAATGACCAATTTATTATTCTTTTCGGTTTTGGAGGGATTATTATTTGGCTCTGTGTGGAGTAAGGAAACTTGCCCAATGTTTCGCCCTCTGCCTGGAATTGAACTCAGGTCTCTCGCTTGCAAAGCGCGTGCTCTCACCACTGAGGTACAGGACTCCTAACGCAAAGTGCGATCTACGCATGGATACGTAAAATTTAAATCATCCGCCTGGCTGCTTCTCCCCTATGCCCCATGTCGCCTATCACATCCCCCATTTCGGCTCCCTCACCCAGCCCTCCGCTACTACCTCGGCCCCGATCCTACATTAGTTTCCTCCATCACCCTTCTTCTCTCTTATCCAGCATCACACCAACGAAAACCACCTCGACCCCCTCGATCCCTGCAACCTCGGCTACTACCGCCCTATCTGTGACCAGGGCTCCCTCTGGCTCCCCGTCCTCCTGGACCTCTCCGCCATTTTCGACAAGAAAGCTGCCCTCGATCCCTCCAAACTCCCCCATATCCGGTCCATGACCAGAATCGCTTTCTCCCACGTCCACCACAAAATCCAGCTCATGCAAAGCTCCAACGCCCACATTCTCAACCGCACCAAACTTCATACCCCAATTACTCCTTCTCAAACAGCACTGGCACTCTACCACAGAGTGGATCGACTCCAAGATTCTCATTCTCGTCTTTAGGTATCTCCATTCCTTGCCCCACCTCCCCATCTCTCTAATTTCCTCTGTCCTCACTGCAGTACAAGCTGCGTCCGCTCTACTGGGTCCTGCCTCCTCCGCGCCCCACCGAATTTTCCGCTCCACTATCGGCAGCCCTGCCTTCAGACACAACGTCCTGAATCTTTGGAGCTCCCTCCCTCAACCCGTTGTCCTAGCTCCCTCTTTTCCGACCTTCCTTTCCTACCGCGCCGAGGCCTTTGGCTGCGCCATTGTTAAGCTCTTAGATTCCGCCCGACCTGGTAGGCGCGTTATAAATGCAAGTTGTTGTTATCTGAGTCCACTTGAGCTGCTCAACAGACGATTATCCAAATCAAAAATACTGTGGAACTTGTTTCACATACTCAAACACCAACATTTAGGTGTCCGTTTCCGAATCACACAAAGTTTTGTCACAGGAAGGACATTGGTTGCCAAGAACAAAAAGAGCGTACCGATCTTGAAGCATACGTTTGTAACACTGAGCTACATAAATCACAATCACATGTTCATCTCCACAAGTTCATGACACACAACTGCCTTTGTCAACTCCAACTTTGAACCCATCTCCTGCTGTTATGACCGATAGATTGTCAGCCATAAAGTGGTGCACGAACTGGCAGTTTCTTCAAATCAATGTTCATCATACTGTTAATGCTGTTGTACAGATGGTTTTACTTGTGGCTATAACAGGCCTGGACTCTGTATAAACGGAATGGTTTCTGTATAACAGGCCTGTTTTCTGCATAATAGACCTGGTTTCTGCATAACAGACTGGTATCTGTATAACTGTTCTGGTCTCTGTATGATAGTACTATTTTCTGTATAAGAGGCCTCCTTTCTGTATGACAGACCTGATCTTTTCAATATAGGCCCGTTCTCTGTATAACAGGCCAGAACTATGTATAAAAAGCCTTGGCTCTCTAACAGGAGCCTGTTTTTTTACAGCAGGCCCCGTTACTCTATTGGGTTCCACGTCCCTTTATAATAAGCATGGTTTATATATGACAGGTTTGTTCTCTGTATGACATATCTCGTCCCTGTGAAATAAACCTGTTGTCCATACAGTGAGACTAGTCCTGGTCTCTGAATAACAAGCATGGTCTATGCGTAACAGGCCTGTTCAAGCTCTAATAATAATATTCCTTGCATTTGATATAGTGCATTATCAGGCCTTCGAGGCATCACCAAGTGCGTCACAAAATATATTGTAAAATTGTGTAAGATATACCGCAGCTATTAGGAAAATTGTCGAAAATGCAACCACAACAATCAAAAAAAACATTTATAGAACGCCTTTCCGTCGGGAAGACGTCGAATAACGCTGCACCGTCAGGTCGCGTCATAACATAACTGAGTATCTGAGTGACTGGTTTGTAAATGCATTTTCTGTTGTTGTTTTTTCCGTGTTAGAGACATTATCAGAATGTTTAACATGTTTGTTCAGTGATGCTGAATAAAACCAATGGGGATAAGAGTGAAATGTTCCCTGGAAATTTGTCACTGTTCTCTTAAAGAGTTTCCAGAAAGCTGTCGTCTCAATATGCTGCTTGAATCCAGTGCCTGTCGAGGTGACCCACAGCAGTGTGTCAAAAATAAAATATGGAATATGTAACCATTTATGAGGTGGAAGCAATTTGCTATCCCATTCTTGCGGTGGTCGGCGTTCCTGGTAGGATAATATCAATCGATTTTTTTATGTAAATATTTATGCATGTTCATTAAAAAGTTATTCATTGCTTAACAACAATTTTGCCTGATTCGATTCGTAATATTCTAGACTCAGAGTGAGTGTTTCGTGCACTCCAATAGCACGTCAGAAACTTTGAGCTGAAAGACCAGCTTAACGTGAATTGGGGGAGAGCGGCAGTGTAAGAACTAAAGTAGTTTGGATAAAACTGTGTATCTGTTAGCCTGTTGGAAAGCTTGCACTTTGCCACCAACTCAGAAGTTTATGGGTTCAAGCCCTCCTTGGGACTTGGAATCAGATGTTCTAAATCACAGCTGCAATTCATTGGATGCATTGGGTGTGTTGCACTGTTGGATGTGCTGTCCTCTGGATGAAACTTTCAACCGAAATCCCAGCTGCCTGTTGAGAACGATGTTAAAGATCTTATGGCACCACAATATTTGGAAACAGAAAGCAGTTTCTCCCTGTGTACTCACTGCCATGGTTGGTGTATGACATTGCGGTTACATCCCCAAAATACACAGACTGTCCTCTTTACAGTGTGAGCCTTGTCGCATATTGAAACATCCCAAAGAAGTGATAAATCGCATTACCAAATCCAAATAGTATCGTTATTAGTAAATTGCACAGAAACTCCACTTTAACTATTCCCTCTTGAGGGCAATTAAGTGATGATGCGCTGTATTAAACGCAAGAATTATAAATTTTATAACCTTAAACGGAAGATCCGACTGTTCCAGTTTAGATGTACTGGGACAGTATTCGAAAAGAGAAGGAATTTTATTCCGGTGTCATAGCCAACAATCTCCCAGATGCAAATTGAAGTTCGCTTCATTACTGCTTGCGGGAAGTGATTGTATGCAAACTGAGTATCCTATTTGTTTAAAAATAAACATCCACCACACTACAAAGAATATAAATGCCCGATGTTAGACTTGATAACAATTTGTGTCAATCATAAATTGTGTTAATTCGCCAACAACACCACACTTCAATACTTGGGTCCAAAACAATACCAGCATCTACCATGGCCAATGTTTGACATGACAAATGTGTGGCATGCAATTTGATAAATTTAGCACCAATCTGACAGTCACTACTCTTTACTTTCCTTGCAGAGAACCTGTTGGCGATTCTCATCCTTTCCCGTGGAAATTGCGGTCTCTCAAAAGGCGTCACTCTCTACTTGATATCCATGGCTGCGGCAGATCTGATGGTCATTATCACTGATGTAATATTCAATCGCATTAATACTTTTTATTTCCCCATTAGTTTCTTGTTCTACACTCCCGTGTGCAGCCTCAGACTCGTTTTGATGGCCACGGCCACAAAATGTTCTGCCTGGTTTACAGTCGTTTTCACCTTCGATCGTTTTGTGGCGATTTGTTGTCAGAAGATGAAAATTACATATTGTTCTGTGAAAACTGCTAATTTGGTTATAATAATCGTGAGTGTGTTAAGCTGTGTGCAGTGCATTCCCTGGTACTTTGCTTCTACTCCTCATGTGATAATTAACAATGTGCCATTTTATTGTATTGCAAAACCCAGCTATTTTATTTTGCCAATATGGAGAGTTTTCACATGGTTTCACCGAGTTTTTACTCCTCTATTTGTTTTTCTTTTGATTTTCCTTTTCAATGCTCTGACCATCAGACACATTTTATCAGCCAGCCGGGTCCGCAGGAGAATCAGGGTCAGTAGAATTGGAAAGAAACAGAATGATGCAGAAATGGAAAAGCGAAGAAAATCCATCGTCTTACTCTTCACTATATCGGCCAGTTTTGTACTGTTATGGATGACGAC